GAAGGGCTTTGAACTATTTAACAATGATGACATGTCCATGCAAGTGGTTGATGTGAGCGAATGTGTGATCGCCTGCGAAAAGAACAATGTGAGTCTGTGGGGCTAAGGAGCATTCAAACTTCAAAGGGAACGGGATGGCGCTACACAGAAAAGGCGTGGTTCATGTGAATACTATTTGAATCCACTGAGCCTAAAGTATTTATGGATCTTGTCTTGGAAATGGAGCAATACACAACCCCAAATCCCTCAGCTCATTACATGGGCCCTTGAACCCTTACAAAACTTGATGGAAACCAATGATGTGAAACGACGTTGATGTGGGGTTCACCGTTCAAGTGATACTTTCTGATGGAGCTTTCTTTCAGATAGATGGACAACCTTTAGACTGCCGATCGTTCGATTTCTCTCCGCCCACCTGCATTTTCTCCTCTGAAACCGCTGTGCCAGTTGGAAACGGTCAACTGCAACAGCGTAATGACTCGTTTTACTACGAGAAGATCTGCGTCTCAGAAACAACGACGAGGTTCTCAGGAATTTCCATTTCACATTTTCCTGAAAACTAATTTTTCAATCAAAAGACGAGACGATGAAAGAAATTCGAGCTCAAGCGCCCATCAAAGGAGTTTGAGCAGATACTGCATTCTAGAGACTGTGCACGAGAACGTGCTGTTTAACTTCCCAGCATAAATCGTCACTAGCTGCAATGTACAAAAATCCCTCTATGGAGATTAACTTTGAAAATGAAATAAACCACGGGAACTGCAGCTATTAGACACTCAGAGATGGGTACTCGACATTGGACCTGTCGCGCGGCACGAAGGCAGACTCAGCGGACGAGTCGTTTGGGCTTCCTGTCGGAAACCTCTCACGGACTAGTGGGCGGAGTCAAAGGGCGCATGGTACGAAGAGCATGGTAGGGCGGGCACGTATCAGGTGACGCGTCGTAGGGAAAAATAAAATTCCCCCGGATTCAGAAAGTAGACACGAGTCGTTTTGGGAGAGGGATGAGGATACAATAGAAGGGTGGTTTTTGTCGTAGGAGGTTAAGTCAAAAAGACTTCCTATGTCGGCACCCAAGCTACGAATGGAAGAGGATCCGGTTGCCACATATGTGACAGCCGAATTTAACGGCTACTAGTTTTCCTAGTTTTCCAGATTGTTTACCAAAACAAATGCAAATTTTCCTTTTTCTGTTTTACTGTCAGATGATCTTCAAAAGACTTTCACAAGAAAGATGGATCATGAGCAGTTTTCGTGCACGATTTTTTGCTCCTCCTATCTCATCGATGGAAAAAAGAGGATAAGGTGGTCACTAGTAGAGGATGACTTTGGCTAGCAAAGCGAGCCTGAAGTTGTAATCTGAGCAACTATGGTTTTACTTTTCCAACTTTCCAAATCCACACCAATTTTAATATGAATGCGATAAATTAACATAATTAGACACTGATTAACCCCACTTTAAAACATTATTTGATGTCATATAAAATTCTGTATAATATCGCTGCTCCTACCAGGAACTGTTCACCCTACCTTTACACGCTTCCCACAAATGGTTTTGGTTGGATTTGCCGAGGCAGTGGCCGACACGACGTCATTTGAGGCTTGCTTTGAGCACTGCCTAGAGAGCGTAATAACTTCGGGTATTCAACTGTAGCAGTGGCATGTATTTCTTCGAGGTAACTACCGTACCTTACACTTTCCACCTCTTACCCAAGTGAGCCAGAAACGCAGGCTTATCAACATAGGCGTGACAGAAACTAAACAATAGCATCAAAATTCATACGTGATACCGATTATGTTCCAGAGGGTGTGTGCGATTTGTGATGATTCCATGCGTGCCATTCTATTTGTGTAGAACACGCTTAGCACGCAATGTGGAGGTTGCCGAGGAAATCAATGATTTTGATGATTCGAAGTATTCATAATGCTCATGCTCGGTTGGCTGACTACAACGTTGCACGGCACTCACTCAGGGGTGTAATACAAATGGTACCTTTGTATCGTTATCAGGTATCATTTCTCAGCTGCAAATTCACAGCACATGAGTGACGACGCACCTACAAAAATGTAATACGTAATACATCGCTGCAACGCGACGATTTAGCGTTACACATCTAGGAGCTCATCCAATAAGGAAAGAGGGCAGATGGCGGGACAGTTTATATCGACTTAAGTAATCTAAATTGTCGCAGAGTTGAACTCTGGGCTGGGTGTAAAAGCGAAAGCAAAAGGATTCATCCAGCTCGGGAATTCCCCTCCCATAAAAAAGAAGATTTTAATTCATGTACAGTCGGGACAAATTGCGCCATATTTAATTTCGTTAAGAGCTTATTGGATGTAGACGCTCATCATATCTACAGCTGTCACTAATCACAGCTATCATTTATCAAACACTATGAACCAGGTCAACCGTCGCGTTCGCTTTTTTCCAGAAATTTTTACGACCCTCCCCCCTTTAAATGGGTCTGTATACAACCCGAGAAACCACCATTAACCTTAGGGAGTCCCCTAGACATCACCACCCCCACCACATCATCATGGCTATTTCGATAGTATTATATTCTGAGACCAGTCGACACTTCTCAACTCCGCCATTTTGCTTGTCCAAAATGACGACCGCAGGGTGAATAACGGTCGAGGAAATCCTCGACCATAGCTCTCTACCATGCGAGAGTAGTGCCGAGAGTGAACATCCGCGCGGAGAGCACAGACGGCACGGCATGGCGAGTGTGAATGTCCGCGCGAGAGATCGTCTCTGATCGGGCAGAGAATCCTCGACGTGCCGTTGAGGAATCCTCAAGCGATATTCACCCTGGTCCGTGGAAGGCAGAAGGAGAGGGGGAGGGGGTAAATTTGTGCAATAAAGCGGCAAATCCTCTAGTTTTATTTTATAATCACTCTCGTTCTATGGAAATTCTTCAGAAAACTCGTCAAAAACGTATACCCTCTTTTTTCACCCAACTCTCTATAGTAACGCTAATACGAACCCCGTTCTCACTTTTCCAAAGATTAACCGTGCTCAACTCAAATCACTACCTCTACTATAACCCCCTCGTTCGTAA